GCGCACCTGAAAATGGTGAGTGAGTCTCCCAGCGGGAGCTGCTGCGTACACAAGGTCTCGAACTCGAGATCTTGTTTAAGCTAAAACAAGCCGCTTACCACTTGATCCAACCCCTCGTTAGTTTTCCTGTCTCTTTCTATCCTTCCTTTTCTCCTCCTTGGGGAACAATAATCTCAGTCCAAAACTTTTTGCAGGGTGAGGATGCTATACCCGGGTATTGAATCTAAGATATTGTTCTTCAGTGCACTTCTTCAAAGAATAGTAGCCAATAGACCACAAGGTACTGGACATTGTGATTACAAGTCTACAAACTTGCTAGTGTATCTTTCATTTTTCTAAATTATGAATTTCATTTTGCCTTTGGTTTCTTTTCTTTTTCTTGACATTTTTTTGGATACAAGTAAATTAATATATATTGAAGTAAATGGGAATTGGTGAAAAAAGATTCATAACACTCGAAAACGCAACCTATAGAAGGTGATTCTCACTAGCCCAGAGTCTTAGTAACTAAACTAGAGCGTAAAAATCTTCTCTTGATATTTATTATTGATAAGATATTGAGAATGAAAAATATCTTCTTGTTTATAAGGTTAAGTTAGAAAAATGAAAAAAAAATATTTTCAAGTTAACTCACACATAAAAAATGTTTATAAAATTATTTAAATACACATAATTCAATAATATTCTATTTTTGATTTTATCTATTAAAAATTATCATATTTCAATTTTATCTGGCGAGTTTAAAAAGTTAATCAAATGATGAGTGTGGGTATTAATCAAATGATGAGTTCTAACCCATAGTACGAAAATAATTTCACCCATTCTTAATTAAAAAAAAAAAAGAAGATAAAGACTATTTCTACGTTAAGTTTTTAGGGTTTTTTTAAATAAATTTGGTAAATTAAATAGTGGTATTTATATATGAATTTTGTATCCCAATAATTATATATCATGTGGTAAAGTGCATTCTTAATTTTAAAATTGAAGTTCTAATTCTCATTATCAAAATTATAATATGTTAAAAAAAAATAGAGGGTACTCTCTTTTTCTTCTTTTTTTTTTTTTCGTATTGAGCAATGATAGATGAATTGCCGTTCGTAACTATTCTAACATGAAAGATTTAAGGGTTCGAATTTATGCTCCTTCTCCATTCTTGTTTTTGTTCCTTTTCCCCTTCCTCAGTTTGAACCATTTACCTTCCTCGTACCTAAAAAAATTTAACATGTTGCTGTGCCCCTGTAAAAACTTTTTGTTTTCTTTCTTTTTTATTTCTTCGAGACTTCCTTTTGCTCTACTTTTGTTTAATAATAAATTTTTTAAATATATATAGTTAGGATATA